TTTGTTTTTGTTTTTTAATTTACAAATTGGGAGATTCTAGATTCATGGACCAGTTTGTGTTGTGCATTTTTAAAGAAGTTTCCGATATTTTGTAATTTAAAAAAATAAAAGAGGAACAGAAACCAAAAATATTAAAAGTACACCCTTTCATTGTAAATTCAGAGTCTAAGCTGTGCCAGGTATTTTCAAACATTTCATATTTTAATTGGCTTCCCAGGAAGACACCTTACAGTCTACAAGTCACATTCACTTAATCTTATATTGATTTTCTAAGAAACATCCTGTTTCTATGACTACACCAATCAATTAGCTGCTCGTAAATAGCGAGACAATTTTCTCTTTTCTCTCCAATGAAGCCTGAAGAGTTTCTTCCCACAAGAATATCTAATGTCGCCCCTTGCCCATAAAGAAATGGCATTATATTATATTAAAGATGGTTGATGTTTTTCTTATTTTGAAAATATTTGGAGATTCTGCACAGAGAAAACATACAAAATTGCCTTGGACCAAAATGTTGAATGACTTATCAATCTGCAGTTGTTTTTATAAAAGGTCTCTATGGTTACCAGCAAAAAAATGGCCTTCCCTTCACCTTCATGCTGGATCCCAGAGAACAGGAAGGCTGGTGATCACTCAAGGAGTCTGCTCACTGGGAAAAAGACAATGGTTCTGCTACTCGGTGTGAACAAAGTGCAAAGCCACAGGCTAGTCATGTGTAACTTCTTTAGTTAACACTGCACTATCTATTCCAATAAGGAAATTCCGTTCACATTAATGTGTGAGGATTTGAGATAAATATGCACGTTCTTTTTCTTAGGAATATACTAGGAATCAACAGAAGCAGCATGATTAACGAATGATATTGGTCTCCGGAGTCAAAAAACCTAGACCTGAGTATTAATATCAGCTGAGAAAATTTGGCAACGCATCTTAAACTCTCTGTGGTTCCATTTCCTGTCTTATAAAATGGGATTGATATAATTAACTCAAGGCTATTTGGAGGATTCTCTAGATCTAATCTATCCTTACTTCAATCAAAGTCCATTCTTCTATACAAAATATCTTTCCACAGCAAAAAAGAGATCAGAACATTTTCCTTTCCCAAATCTCCCTATGTGTGGACAGCACAAGCCAAACTACATAAAGCATTCAGTCGTCCATCCCATGCAACTGGTTCCCAGACTGCTTTTTCAGGGTAATTTCTGGTTAATTCTCAATACATGCCTTATCCTAGCCACATAAAAACAGATTCATTATGCACTTCCAACCACATTCTGCATTTGTCCAATGTATTTTCCCAAATTCTCCCTACCTAAAGTACCCTCTATCCTTGTCTCCTTAGCAAACTTTTGCTCAATTCTTAATTCCAAGGACACCTCCCCAACCACCACCTTTCTAGTTGAGTTAAGAGCTTCTCTCCCATAAAGCAAACATTAAATTTCAACAGGTAAAGTAATATTGTTCTTTCTTTCCAGTTTCCAGTACGAAAACTTATGTTATTTGGCATCTAGCATGAAAATATCTACATGTTATTTAAACACAGAGAAGTCACAGGGAAAAATTACATCAAAAGAAAAAATATTATTCAGATTCCGAAAATCAATCAATAATAATTCATCACTGAATTGTTAGATAAGAAGCACATATCCAGATAAATACGCCACCTGAAAAATGAGCTAAACCACATTGACTTCAATCACCTGTTAAGTGCAAGATATATCATTTCCAATATTATAACACTTAAATTTTTAGATGAATAAACATACACAGTCAAACCAATTAAGTAATTTGTAAAACTACTTGATATGTGGCAGAGTGCCATCCAAATTCAGATGTGTCTGACTCCTCAATGCATTCCACTATTCCATATTCTCTCTCACTTGACCTTGCCCTTTGGTCACATGTGGACCTGCAGTAATGGTCCAAGTATCTTTCCTTATACAGGGTCTCAGGTGCTATCTTTAGCCAGGCCACTCAAAATACTCTTTGACTGAGGTTTGAAAAGGAGATTGGTGCATTGTTAGATTGTATAATCAACTCAAAAGGAAGTCAGAATCTCTTCAAAACAGTAACATTTTATTAATAAAATTAATCATTAAAATAACTGCTCCGATGCTAGATCTACTTGTAGCCTTTCTTACTTTTGGTTCAACTCTCTAAAATATATTTTATGTTTACCTATATAAAAATAACATTATGGAAGAATTATGATATAACATTAATCCTTTCTAAATTGCCTTGAATTAAGACATTTACTATTTTTATTTTATTGGAAGACATTTACTATTTTTGTGGTGTTGGTGGTCTTGGTGATAGTAGCTATTAAGCAAAATAAAATTGTATATTTATCTTTAATTATTTTTTGATGAAGATTCCTTGAAAACTTCTTATTAATGTCCTGGATGAAACATCCAGCTGCATACAATATTTCTCACATAGAAAATGCGAAATGAAATAGGGACTTGATTTTTAAAGCTTGACAATGTTAATTCAGTATGAGACTATGTATGGGATCATACATGTCATAATGAAATATTTTGAGCAATCCTACAATCTAGGATTCAGAATTACCATTGTTTTTAGGAATAGTTACATAGGCATGAACACAGGCATAGATATACAGTCTTAGACAATCAATTTGAACTGTAGAAAATTTGAGTTAAAAGGTCAGTAACATATAAAATTTATTTCCTGGGAAAGCTCCCTTTTTAAGTTGCCTCTGGACCGGTGATCAAGAGGAATTAGACCTGTTCATTCACTCCACTCTGGAAGAAAGGAAAAGAAGACTAAAATATTTACAGGGAATAGAGAGAAGGCAGGTCCCTAGGTGCAGCAGAGGTCCACACAGGAAGAGTATCATTTCTCTCCCTACATACAAGCACTGAGGTTTAATCTGACTGCAGCTTCTCCTGTGCTCACACTTAAAGCAACTCTGACAGTGGCCCTGGCTAATGAGAAGTTCCCAAGCATCTCTGAGTCATCAATTTGTTCTTCAGCAATGACGTATCACACACTATTAAGTAAGTCTATAAGTGGGCAAGTTGCAAAATAGCAGAATATTAGATCTATCTTTGAGGTGCTTTTAAAACCTTCTTGGGTATAATGAGTTCTCCAGTCTGTCTCACAGCTGAAGGAGAGGCTGCTCCTAATGCAAACATAGGTTAAATAAGGATAACAATTAGGCAGGTTACCAAACATGTTAAGTTACTGTTAGTTTCTCATTCCTGTGACCAAAATACCTGCTATAAGCAACTTAGAGGAGGAAAATTTTATTTTGGCTCAGGGTTTCAGAGATTTCAGAACATGGTTAGCCAGCCACCTCCATTGCTTCAGTCCTGAGTTGGGAGAGAACATCCTGGCAGAAGGGCATGGTTGAGGAAAGCTGCGCAGCTCATGGCAGTCCAAAAGCAAAGAGAGGGAGACAGAGATGTCAGGGGCAATAGACCCTTCCAGAACATAGCCCCAGTGACCTACTTTATCTATCTGGGTTCCACCTCCTTCAGTTTCTCCACCTCTCAGTAGTTCATTCAGCTCTCAGTGAATGAGGTCAGAGCCCTCACAGTCCAGTCATCTCCCCAAAGGCCTACCTCTGAACATTGCTCTATAGGGGACCAAGCCTTCAACACAAGAGCATTTGGGGGACATTTCAGATACAAACTATAACGAATAACACAGCTGATGAGAACCAATTTCTTTTACAAACTGAAGAACAATTTATTCATTACTGACAAATAGCAGAATTAGGTCTCATTCTACATGACAGACATATTGCCAAACATGCTTTATTCTGCGCCCTCTCTCAGCCCTTGTTAACTGTCTCTGTGGAGTTTTTTAAAAAAGGTGTTTTTTAAGATAAGAAAGGGGAAAGGCAGACTCACCAAGAGCCAGTCAGAAAACTTGCAGTGGGAAAAACTTACGTTGAAAAGAAAGATCAGTGTGTCTTATTCAGTCTGGAGGCAGAACTCAAACTGTGAATTCAATTTGGTTAAGATGTCCTGCCGCCTGCAGCAGTGGCCCATTGTTAGGGGTTCAGCAGTCATCAATTTATGTGCCAGAGACACAGTCAGAAATTACTATGGAGTGAAGATCTGGATTATTTGGACTTATTCAACACAAAAATGCCTAATACTTTGACATGATGAATAATGCATATATAATTCATTAATTTGAAATGAGAGATAGTATCAGCGATGAAAATTAGAAGAAATAACTGTTAACTCACAAATTTCAAGAATGAGTTAAAAATAAAGAGAATAAACATGGAATAATACCACTCAAGTGAACTTGCAAATATTTCTAGAAGCTTAAAATCAATTCCATAAATATTATACACAAAGTAGCATATAGTAGAGATTGAGCCAAATGACACCCTAAAAGTCAAAAACTTGACAACAGCAACATTATGACAGTAAATTATGATCCACTTCCTTTTTATTATCTCCAAGTCAATAATCATTCCCTAGAAAATGCACCATAATAATATATTCCATGTAAAAACTCCTCCCCCTAAAAAAAGGAAAAAATAGGTCTAAAGAAATAATTCAAAATGATAATTTGTGTGCTTTTGAAACAAAATCAACAAAAATAATGTTGACCAACTTTAGGCAGCATGAAGATGATGCGGACCCTTCCCTGATTCATTAGATTATATGGAGTAATAAAAGATGCATTTAGTTAATTAACCAATAAACACAGAAAAAGAAAAATAAATAAAAACCAAGTCCCACTATCTAATAATTCAAATTAAAAAAGTTACATGTCTTGATTAACAAGATAAAAATCTCAGTCCCTCACCTATATGTTTAGACATAATGAAGGCTTCTAAAGGGCTAGCATCCTTCCACTCATCTTTTAAAATCCTTTTGTTCATTAAAATATTTGTACTAAAAAAAATCTATGCTTTTTGTTTTTATTATTCTGTAAGCTATTTTGCATTTGAAGTCATTGGATAAGAGAAGTCAAACATGGGAGAGTAAGGCACAGTAACTGGCATCTCCTACCTGAAGACCTTCAATAGCTAATCGCAGCATGCTTGGCGTAAGTTTAGAGGCTTGCTTGAAGGTGAAGTTACTCCAGTCTATGATCAAAACAAATCCATTGACTTGAAGCTCAGGATCTTCAATCATGGCTTCTAAAGAAAGTAAGATGGCACGCAGAATATCCACCAGTGTGTACCTATCAGTAACAGAAAAGTACTCAATTAGATCTGACAACTCTTGTAGAATCTGTGGAAAGCTTTTTTTTAGCACACTAAAGAGTTCCTTTAAAATACCTCAAAAAATCTCAAGGAAATTATTTTGCCTAAAAAGCTTATTTTAAGAAGTTTACTTTATATAAGCTCTGGGGACATATTAGTATTTAACATATATTCTATTTAAACAAGTAGCAATGATTTTGAAAATACTACAGATTTTTTCATACTTTGTAGTCATGTAATTTGCAGCTAGACCTTCCTATGAGTTTCTAATATCTCATTTCAGCTATCCCCAAAAGTAGGCATCATAGAGTGGAACAGCATAAGAATGCTGTGATGCTGTGGGTAATTCTTACACTTCTTATATATCAGCCCTCCATATTCTAGGGATCCGCAACTCTAGATTCTGTGTGTTGAGGATAGAATTTGAAAAAAAAAAAAAATAAGAAAGACACTATGTCTGTACTGAACTCATACTGACTTTCTTAAGAAATACAGTATAACAACTATTTACATTGTAAGTTATCAAGAGATATTTTAAATAGAGAGGAATGAAAGTATACAGGAAGAGGTGCACAGATTGTAGGCAAATACCATGCCATTTTACATAAGAGACTTGAGCATCTGCAGAATCAGTGTCTGCAGGGGATCCTGGAGCCAATATCTCAAGGATACCAAGAGACAACTATATTTGAAAAATTCAAGAATGAGATCTGAAGGAATTTCATCAACAAGAAAAGTGTATGAGGTCACTATGGATAAAAGTATCAGCAGACTTAATTACTTGTGTTGAGTTTGCATCATAAAGATAAAAGAAGATAAAAGAAGAGAAGATGAGAGAGACAGAGAAGGCACACAAAAGCAGAGAATCATAAAATCATGGAAATTTGCCTCTTTAATATAATGCAAATCATCCAAATTTAGAGTTGGATCTTTATTTTTTCCTGCCTTGCTCCTTAAGACAATATCAGACACATTCTAGAAGCCCAATAAGTCACTTATTCCTGCAAAATAGGACTAGACTGGGGAACAAGGAGAGTAGTTGTAGACTAAGAAACTGATTAAATGAAGACAGAACAAAAATAAGAAGCCAAATTTGATAGGTTCTTAGTGGTAAAAAATAATAATTTGATATTTAAATAGATGTGGAGAGTAAAATTGGGGAAAGAGTAAAGAATGACACACAGATTCTAGCTTCAGAGACTGAATAAATATTAAATCATTAATCAAAATCAATAATGCAAATAGAGGGTATTGTTGGGGATGTCTGGAAATACAGAGTTTTGAATAGAAATTGTTGCATTTGATAAACAGGTAATATATCCGGAAAGATACATTAAGTAAGCATCTGGAGAAATAGATACTAAACTCAAAAGAGAGCTCAAAGCAAAAAAGTTCTAGAATCAAAAGTACAAGCTGAAAGATAAAGGAAATAAAGTGGCTAATGCAGTCAAAGCTAAGAGAGATATAAGATAATTATTCTAATAATACAATCATTAAGAAATCTCCAAATTTTAAAAGGAGTCAGAAAATTTATGGACAATGGTAATAATTTTGATTTTTTGTATAATCTATATTTTAATAATTTTTCTCCTGAGACATTCAGGTGAAGACGTCCAAGAAAAGCTTACAGAGAGAGATCTGCACCTTGGGGAATAAGTGGGATGGGGTGGAAAGGGATCAGGAATAGAAATCACCTGTATTTAGTGGAAGTGATATACTCACCAAGGAGACAGTATGAGATGGAGGTATTGAAGAGGGAGTAGTTCTATTTTTCCTTCTAAAAATATTTGGAGGTGAATGAAAAAGTATGATAGTTTGGAAAGGAATAAAAAAAGAACATTGGAGCTTTAGATAATTTCTCAGCTTTTCATTTCCCAGTCTGTAAAACTATCTGTTTGGAACAGAATCTTTAGGATTCTAGCATTAACCAAGAATAGGGCATGATGTCAGAAGACTTCTAGATGGCATCTCTGCCCTGCCTGTCATTAGCTGCATGGCCCTTGATGTACTATTAATTTAAAATTCTGAGGACCAGTTCCCTTATTTGAAAGTATAGTGGTACCTATGCCTATCTTACAAGGTGGGAGGTGGGAGTTGGAAGACAAAGAATCATACAGATAATTCTGATGAAATAATCTGCACAATGCTAGGTATACAGGAGGTATTCAGTGAAAGTTGGCATATATACCTAACTTACTTTGGGTTGTTGTAATGGTAGCCCTAGATATAGTGCACTAGGCAGGGTATAATGAAAATTGAAGAATATTTTCCTTAAAAAGTTAACTATGATTTTTAGAATAGACTATTAATTACTATTTTAGAAAACAATAATCAAGAGATTATTTTTAACCATCTAGAATGAGTCCAGGTATTACAGGCCTAGGGATATGGAATCCAAAACTATTTCTTGAATACATAAGGTAATAAAACTTTTTGTAGAGCTGTATTATTTATTTGTTATTAGTGAAAAGTACATGACATAATGCCTTAAATGTCACTTGATGGCTGGCCTACCTTCATTGTGGACATAATGGCCTGCATGTGTTATAACCTAAAGCCTATAAACCTACAAAGATGGATAAGTTGAAACAGAAAATTTTAAGTTAAAATTAGCTTTTAAAATCTAAAATTAGAAATTAGGTAAAAATTAGACATTCCCTCCAAATCACTTTAGTTTCTGAAATTCAAACAAAATATCATTCTGGGCCAGGGTTGTGGCTCAGTTGTAGAGCACTTGCCTAGCATGCATGAAGCATTGGGTTCAATCCCCAGCACCACATAAAAATAAATAAATAAATAAACAAATAAAATAAAGGTAATAAAATAATAATATCATGCTAAAGAAAATTAAAAATCAGAAAAGTCTAACTTAGGATGTTTCCTCATTATGAGACTGATTTATTCTTCTATTACTCAGAAGAATATAAAATTGCATTAATATCAAAATACCATAAAATAAAATATGAATCTTAAACCAGTTTTGGAAGGATGATGCATTTGTATCTAGTAAAGGTAAATCATGATACCAGTAATGCTAAAAACAAGAGGCAGTTTGTTTAAGGAATACACTTGAAGTATAGTTCTTTCAAACTACATCAAAATCAAGGATTATGATATATAATTTATCTATATAAATAAATATATTTTTTATTTATTTTTAGTTAAAAATATATTTTATATATAAATTTGAATATATAAATAAGTATATTCTAAGTAAAATATATTTTAAGTAAAAACATATTTATGTATATGAATAAAATATATAAATTACAAAAATTGTATATTATAAATTATACATATAAAATAGGTTATAAATTATTATGAGTTATATATAATATTATAAATTATATATGCTATATATATAGATATATAATTATCCTAAAAGAAGTAAAATAAGGAAAATTTCAAGATCATATGGAAGAAAATCAAGTTTGCAAAATTTTCAAGAGAAATTCTAACCATTTTTTTTTTAATTTAATAACTTGTTCCAAGAAATCTAAGTGATCTTTATAAAAATCATTTGAATTTATAAGCTTGAGAAAGTAAAAACATCTTAGCTAACATATTCAAAGGGCAGGCCAACACCACTCTTGACTTACTCCTGTCCTCTGTTGTCAAACATGTCATATTATTACCATTAGCAGCTCAGCAGGCTACTCCTTAGAAGAACATGATTTCACAGGCTCTTGCCAAAGTCCATAAAATACCTTCCAAAGAAATGTAGCATCTATGAATTTATTTCTTCAGGAATCCTACAATTGCTCTCCTCTTTAAATTATTTTAACTGTTATAATTTGGAAATTAGAAGTTACTATAATGAAACATGTTACATATTCATGTTTGGTATTTATACCCAAATTATATGAGTTTCATCATTGCTATTCTTCCCTTGTGTGTTGGAAGAAATCCTCTTAAACACACACACATACACACACACACACACACACACACACACACACACACAGAAAACAAAACTAGCACATTGTTGCAGCTCTTGACTCCTGGTTGTGCTCCCCAAAATAGCATTAGCTAAAACTTGAATTTGTAGAGAAAATGATGCATAGCTCATAGTAAGAAGAAATCATAACACAAGCAAGGAATTTTACAACTGACATCTGACTCTGTAGACCACTGTCCCTGAATTAAATCAAAGTTGCCATAATATGTTAAAAACATATGGAGAATACTTTGACACCAGAGCTCCTATTTATTCACTGTATACTCAGAAAACATCTAATCCCTCTTGAAATTTTATAGTTATAAAACCAGTCTGAAAGATACAAAGTAAGATGTGTTTTTTTAACTTAATCAAAGTCTTTTTAATATACAACTTATCACTATCCCAAATACAAAGTGAAAATGAAACACTTGCCTATTTTTCTAATATCAGGTTGTCTCTGAACCTTGAAGAAGTTACTGAACCTTGCTAAGCCTTCACTTCCTCTTTTCAAAATGGAAATGGTAGAACAAAATGTGAAATATAGTCCACTGCCTATCACATAGAAAATACTTTAAATGTTAACTTCTATGATTTCTATAATTATATAATTGTATCACCTCATATTCTACAGTTGCTTTTGTACTTTGGAACCATGTATTCTCTTTTTTTTAAAAAAGAGAAAGAGAGAGAGAGAGAGAGAGAGAGAGAGAGAGAGAGAGAATTTTTTATTATTTATTTTTTTTAGTTTTCGGTGGACACAACATCTTTATTTGTATGTGATGCTGAGAACTGAACCCAGCGCATGCCAGGCGAGCGCGCTACCGCTTGAGCCACATCCCCAGCCCTGAACCATGTATTCTTAACTTTGCAGGCTTGTGGAAATAAAAATTAAATAAAATAATATATGTAAAGTTTTTATCATCAGTTGGCATATAATATAGCCAATGAGTATATTTGCTATAATCATAGCTGTTGAGACTCTACTATTTGGTTCCATGACATTACAATTTTTTTCCTCCCACTTTCTGGATACTCTAG